TCTGGCACGAGTCGCGTGATCTTTCCGCATTGTGGAAAAACGCGTTCGCTGCGGCGGCGGCGGCGAAGTACACTTTATCTCGGTTGGACTGTTATATCCCCGGCGCGATACAAGGCCGGGTAAATTGGAATCGCGCGGAAGAAACGTCCGTAGCATATTGCAGGGGTTGCGGGACACGTCGTCGGAGTCGCTGTCGCCGTTCGCATTATGTCTTTCGGTAGTACATACACGGACACGTGCCTATGCGTGACACGTTCACGCATGGCTGCCTGCGTTCGGGACTCTCCCCCCATATCGGCTCGCATTCATCTCTGATTCCTTGTTGGGGTGCAGGGATTGCGTTTCCACTTTAACCGTGCCCAGTCGAACGTCTATCGCCTACACGCGCAAAAAGTAGCCGATTTCGTCGAGGAGCCATGAATCGAATCCGTCCGTCCGTCAACGTCGATTTAAACGTCGATTAACATCCGCTTAAAGTTAACTGAGAAATGAAAGAAACGTCCAAACTGAACTTCCTACTGGAAATTCCTCCTTTCCACTGAAAATGAAAATAAGATACGAAGTATTTGTTTTTAACTTTCTTCCCATTCCACACGAGATATAACTTTTATTTATAGATTCACTTTCGAATCCGTTTTTTTTTACAAAAACGTCAATAAACAGATTTGTAAATCAAGAGTTGAATCGAAGTAAAAGTCTTGTCGGGAATCATTCCAGAAATGTAAATAGGTTACAAATCATTTTGCAACATTACATTCTTGTACATTCAATAATTTATTTTATCTTTTGTACATTTTAACATCTCTCTTTCTTTTATGTGCTTTTAAATAAACACGTTCCTTTTCTAAGAAATGCCGATAAGAGAGAAAGAATTTCTGTTGAGAGATTGCGCCAAGAGTTCGCGTGGATACATGAAAAATATAATAAACAATACGAGCGGGTCGCTCGTATCGTGCGAGGGAACTCGAAGTCAAAGACAAGAATCTTTTTTCCCGCCGAGCCGGCACTATATTCACGCTATGCGATAATTAGGAAACGATTAATTTTCTTTCCGCGCTACGCAGCTCGCTCTTACAAATAACTTTTGCTACGCCTGCCCTTATCAGACGAAACAAAAACATGTTAGTTCCATCATGGGGCACGAATCGCCCGCGCGTTCCAACTTCTTGAGAAAGCCTCATTTAACAACTGCGACTTCCGCTTTTTAGAAGGCAATTTACTGGACAGTTAGTCGATACGTGGTACCCACTTCAGATATTTTTGTGTGTCATGTGCGTCACGAACAATCATAACGACGTGACTTACATTCAGAATTTCTTAATCCATAACGGATGACGCGATAGGAAGATTTGTATAAAATTCTTAAGTATATCGTTATGATATATATCAAACTAACAAAAATATTCCATAAGTATTTTTCAATGACCTTTTATTTCAATCTTATATGCTTTTAACAAAAATAGCCCAATTTTTCATGTATAACAAGAACGTAAATGCACGCGATCTCGCTACGACGATTAAAAGCTACGCGAAAAAAACATTCGCGTTCCACGGCACATTTCCGACGAGCTCGGCGGAACGCCAGCGGGAACGACGCGAAAAAAATGCGAAGCTTAAACTTCATCCTGCATGCAGGATCTTTGCCCCTGCGTGTAGGTGTAACTTTTCCTACCCCACTGCGTAGCTCGTATGAGCAACTCGCTCCGCTCGCTGAACTTCGAGCTTGCGGCGTTACGCTCACTTACTCATTATTACGCACCGCACGGCAATGTGATTTATGTCCGAGATAGATCTGCCACCCGAAACAGCTGTGTATGAGTCTGTATCACTTAAGACCACCATCATTTAAGATTATGGATCTAGGCTATGATCTGACAGTTGTATTGACAGGTGTATTGACTGGCGAGAGTACGGGAGACGGATGATACTTCTAACACAAATTTCGAGATTTTTTTTTTATTTTAATTATTTTTGTATAATATTTGTGCTTTCAGAATGGTACGATCGGCATGTAGCTTATTATTATTTTCTGCATATATACTAATAAAATTGCACTCACTCTACCTAACTTGAGGTATTAGAACTTGATGTCAAGGATATTTCAGATTAAGGCTAGGTAATATGTTCTTTTCTCAACTAAAAATGGCATTAATTGCTCTACTTTCGAAAGTTTATAAAATAATATCACGAAACGTTCGGTCTCTTTCTCCTACCCTTACCCGTGCCGAGAATACGAACTTTTAAAATATTCAAGCGATTTGGATGCAAATCCGCAGCTTTCGGTCAGCGACATCTCGAAATTAGCGTGGCGGAACGATACAATAGAAATGATCGAACACATGAAAGAACTTCGTCTTGTGGCGCATCGGTGTGTTTGCTGGAACGCGCCCAAAGTTTCTCCAAAGTCGCGTGGAGAGGCCATGGTACCCTCGTCTTTTCGGCGTCTCGACATCGAAAGTGGCATTGTACGCGTCCGAGACTACCAAAGAGTGCAGTAGCACGGAATGACGACGGGTTCTTTGATCCTCCCTCGAGAAGGCTGCATGTTACCTAACGGGATTACCCCGCCCCGCGTAATTGCTCGTGAATGCGCAGATATACTCGCGACAATGGATTGCACGTTCATCGATTCGAGGTGACGCGAAACAAATCACGATGCTGTACACAAAATCGATCTGCAAAAACAATGCGTAACAAAATTTTCGCGTGAGTTACCTTCCCCTCGATGATGCGTTTTCTGAGGAGTTCAAGCGGATATTTGATTATAAGAGCAAACAAGCTACTCAGAAAATCTATACTTAAAATTTATTTCAATATATAACAAACTCTAATCAAAAAAAGTTCATTTCTCAAAAGCTTTTCATTTCTATGATTAGATCTAGAAATAAGAAATAATTCTTGAACAAATGTAGAATTCATTTGAAATTTGAAGTGAAAAGATACAAATTTTTAAGAATTTTTTTATACTTAGTATAAAAATTGTTTAAAATATCTTACAAAGTTTCTTAAGTTTCAATTATTCACAAATTGAGGATTTCAATATCTTTGACATTTTTGTTTTCAAGAAAAATTGATTCTAAATTTATCGAAAAATCCATGAGAATTAAATACGAAACATTTTAAACTTAATAAGAATAATTAAATATAAAATAAGTATAATTAAATATAAAATAAGTAAATATAAAATATAACCATATTTATATTTATTTTTTATATCCAATGTGCATTACATTAAGCTTTGTTCTCAATTTTTATTTCCAAAATTTAATTTATTTATTTCTGTTCCCAATTTCTATTCCTCCATTGAGCGTAAATCACGCTCGAAGATGACATTGATTAACATTAATTTAGATAATCCAGCTCGCACCGTCCATAATCTATATAAAAAATTTGATGGAGCCATCGTCGTTGACATCCGCTATACGTGCTGTCGATGGTATCTCGATCGCAGTGTCGAAGTTTGCGTTAGAGACGGCTCGAAGCCCCGCGGCTACACTGATTGCGGCGGACCCTACGACTCGTGGAGACCCGGGAACATCATCCCCGACTAGTCGGCACCCTCGTCCAAGGACGTACCCGCTTCCCAATCAGAGGCGAAATCAGATTGTTTAACACGGCGGACACCAACTGCTATTTAAAGGCAGCATCTGCCCCGTGGGGCTCGCTACATTCCGACGCGACGTTCTATCATAGCCGTTGTTAAAAGGTCTATTGTCATAGGGGAAGTCGTTCGCATTAGTCCTCACATTCGACATACATCCGTAAAAATGTAATAAAGTGAGAATTTTTATAATTTTTTCCAAACTTAATTTATTCGACTTCACAGAAAATTGAGTAATGTTGTAAGCTATAACTATCGTAACGCTCGTTCACATTAGTCTTCATAATCGACATGTATTCGTGAAAATATAAAGAGAAATATGAGAATTTTTATAATTTTTCGAATTTAGTTTTTTTTTCGATTTCACAAAAAATTGAAAAACATTGAATACCCATCGAAATGTTCTAATTTTCTTTTAAATAAAAACGCATATTCAAGTAGAAAATTTAAATGTATGAAAATACCATCCTAATGCTATTAAAAATAAAACATTACAGATTAATTTCCAGTTGTTTATCTAGAAAATTACATATACGATCCTTGTGTGCTTTATTTAGAAATAAAATGGTATAGCAAAAAATGTATAAAAATGTTTTTACAAAATGCATAACTTTAAAACTTGGAAATTGGAAATTGGTGAACTCAAGAAAAATTGCGAATATATGAAATGCGTGTTAATGACGTAACGATCTTCAAGCCAATTTGGAAACAATCACGAATCCACCCATTTTCGAGTAACGAAGAGCTAGTTGACTGACCTTTGTGAGCGTATAACGAACTGAAATTAAGAGGCATTGTGCCCTTAAACAGATTGCACATGTCCGTGCGTGAACGTGACCGCCGGGCTTTCGGAGAAGCGCGAAAAGAGAATTCGTGTGATAAGACGAAGAGAAGAGGCCTATGTGTCGGGGGCGACATGGCGACGAAACGAACAGGGAGAGAAACGTACACGTAGAACACTCAGCCCCGTGTGTTTGCCTACACGGAAATCCTCTCTAACGGATTCTAACGCTCGACCGAGTTTGCGCTTTTTCATCTTCGGACCGACGACTTTCTCGCGCGCCGTCTCCCACGATCGAGGCATTCTCGATCCACCGCGAGCGACATCGAGGCTATGCGAAAGTGTCCGGAAATAATCTGGCATCTCCTCCGACAGATAATTACGAAAATATCCGTACTGATAGAAGCAGCTCGGGCAGAAATTCGAATGAACTGCATATTTTATTTATTTTACGCAAACTCAGATCTTCCTCCATTTCCTTTCCAAAAAAAAAAAAAGAAATTGTTTTGATATATAGATATATCTTCTTATTAGATATATTTTCTTCGTCTTAGATATATTTTTTTATATGAAATTTTAATGCGGAGTAATGCATGGATGCTAAATATCTTGTTCCAGGCTATGGAAGCAGCTTGTCAAAGACAGCACTGGACACGCACAGCCATCTCAGGCAGCCTGGTATGTAGTAGGTAGATATTTTTGAGAAGTTAAAGCGCTATTTCTTTTACATAACCCAATCTAAAATAAATTCTGGTCAAAGATAAGGTTCTTGGTGAATTAATTTCTTGGCGAATTAATTTAATTAAAATATCTGCAGAGATATCTTGCAGTAGATATCTGTTGCTAAAAAATCGCATACCCATATCGGTCTATAAATAAAGCTTAAGCTTCTAAAATATGAGATCTTCAATATTTAATTCAGGCAGTTTTTTATAATTATAAAATATAAAACAATTACTATATCATTATATATAATTTATAATTTTTTCTGTAAAAATAAAACATTGTAATTTTATAGTATAATCCTGATTTTCAGTTTATATTTTCTATATTATATCAGCTAGCAAATTACGTGTTACGTTTTTGTTATGGATTATAGATTACGGATGTACGGATTAAATAAATCCGAAATTACCTAAACGTAGAAGTGAAGGAACAAGGTCCCTTTTTACCTGAAAAGGAATTTATCTACGCGATAATCAAACAAGGTCACTGTTACTTCGCGCATCATCGATTCCTTGGAGTTTCGAATCGCGAAGCGATGAGAAAAGAGCTTCGAATCCTTGGGCGTAGTCGCATCCCAGTATTTCTCCCGTCAGTTCCCTCGTTCCCGGTAGATAAATGGGTGTACCGCGCCCCTTCCCATTATTAACTTGTAAGTGAATTACCGTTCGATCGAAAGGCGATCACTCCGGCACGCATTCAGCGGATTCATCGGGCGAAACGACCTTTGAGGTCCGGCAATTCCGAATCCATCCCCATCATCCGCGTCTGTCCCCATCCCATAATCGCTCGACTTATATTTTTATGGGGTTCGTCTTGGAGTTCCCGTGTCAGTACTCCTCTTCGATCTTTCAGATCGTCAGTCATTAAATCGGTACGTTTACCCTCCTCGTTAAAAAGTCTGTCTTCTTTTTTATGAGAAATTGCTAAGTACCTTCATACACACACACACATATATTAATTAGACCCATTGTTAATTCACAATTTCTAATCATCAAGTCTTAATTTATTATTGCTATTCATAAATTCCTTTTCGTATTTTTATTCTTTTTAAACAAACTAAACATTATAGACTGACGCTACGCGTGCTATTTATTTTTTTAAATAGAAGGAGTAAAAATTATATAATACTGTTACATTATTAAGAAAATGTTGACAATATCGATCGCAATCATGATCTATTCGATAAATGGTATGTTTTCACACTTTTTTGGAAAGACAAAATGTGTGAATATCCAAG